GCGCCTTCACGAACTTCACGTAATGATGTAAATGTGTCATTTTCATTCTTTTTCTCTATTTTGTTTTTGTGTAATCACTTTTTTAAGCCACTTGTGTACTGCACGATTGAGTCCTGTGGCTCTCACCAGTAGGATATATTCTGCCCCCTGGTGGACATAAACAGTTGCTTCAAATATTTCAAGGTGTTAAAATAAAATGGAAAAAAAAACGAAACATGCAGACACCTCAAACTTCTTTCTTTTCATACAACTGTACACACGAAGTCCTTATTACTGTTTGAAGGGACTCCTGAGGAACTCGTCGGAGGGGCGGAGCCACAGATACGACATTTCAGCGCATAACGAAGTTACGCAATATTCAAAGCTACACACAAAATCAAAAAGCTGCACTGCAGTGTAACATCAGTATGTGTGTAATAGTACAATATGAATTATTCAGTATTGAAAACGTGTTCATTACGTGTCCTCCTGTAATCTGCCGTCACTCATCAGTTGAGCACAGTGAGATGGACCAATGAAGTCAGATCTGTGTTTTAAAAACATTGATTTGCGGCACCAGTGTCTCTATAACTATTTTGCATAACGGGTTATTTACTTTGAAGGTATGTGAGGTTTCCGCTCTTCTCTACTGACCTCTGACCCTTTAAAGGTCTGTGCTGACAGGATTTCACAGGTGATCTCAAGGATCTCGGGTCTGTAATGGTTCACTGACCCACACAGAACTCTACCGTTTTAGTGTCTGTATTTACAGACTGGATTAACGAGGAGTTTGTCTTTGGGATGTTTTATGGATTTTCACACCAACTGTGCTGATGAATACAGAGGTGGGTAAACATGGCACACCACAACGTTTTAAACATTAGTCAAAAGTAAATGTGTCATTTCAACACCATCATTTCTTCCGACAGACGACAGTGATGAACTTCATACTCTGAGGATAAATGTGGCACCTTTTATGTTTGTGTCTGTAATAACGATTGAACTTCTGGGGTGTGGTTGTAGATTTTGCCCTGTACCTGTCTCCTCTCATGTAGTCCAGGCGGCTCTGCATCATGAACTCTCTTCTCCTTCTGTACTCTCGAGCTCTCAGCAGCTGCTGCTTCCTCTCCTCTTTGCTCCAGTATCGACCCTGTGCAGAGGACAGAAACCAGTTTAAAGCTGGTTTAATGAGACTTTGTCATGTTTATTGGGCTCAGAAGCAAACTATAAGGGCTAAAGTACTTCTGTTTTATGTAAACTAGGATTTAATGACAGTTGAAAATGATGTCACAGCATGTTTGTGGCGATGAATCGAGATTCACTCATCAGAAAACAAGTAACAGCACATACTGGACATACGTTTTGTTTGAATCTCAGCTCTTTTAGTCCAATGACATGTTGTCATTAATGTTTGCAGACTCTACCTGTTTCATTTCACTGGCAGCGTCATCGTCTGTCGTCATGCCGCTGCGTTCCTCGCGGATCTTCATGGCTCTGGCCTTCAGCAGACGATCTCTGACCGGCCGCTTGGCCACATAACGAGTCCCATCGCTGCGAATCTTTACCTGGACACGAAAAGAACACCGAGCAT